GCTGTACTTTCGTTGAAGCGCTAGGTGCTGAAGAGGACATACCAGAGAAAGGTGGCTGCCCACAAGGGACAGGTTCAGGTAAGTAGAACTCTTTACCTGCTCCCCCACCCCCATCTCCAATGTCCCTGTTGTGTGTCTTTGCAAATTCTGCAAAGTCCCCAGATGGTGACAATGCCTCTTTAAACTTCCTAGACCTCCCTAGCTGTCAATCAGACAAAAGGTCATGCTACTTCCTGGCTTCTTAGCTGAGTGGAGCTCAACTCAAGAGTCAGGCAATTGCCCAGAGTACCTGTCTTGCAAAGTTTTTTCATTGAGCTGCATTGGGATGTCTGTGATTGGACGTCACAGAAAGTCTGTGCGGGGTTAGAAGGGAAGGGCTTGCAAAGGCTTCAGACAAGAGATCTGTAGATTTTGTAAGCTATTTTTAGATATACTCCCAGTGAAGACATTCATAATTAAATACATGCATTTTTTCAAAATACATCTACAAAGCAGTGATTTTTATTAATGTTTTTGTGTTTGGGCAGTGGAGTGACCATTTTACGTTGAGCTGCCCCCTAAAACGTTTTCTGCAGGCAGATCTGATGACAAGTCCACTTTACTTACACGAGTAGAGTGAATGAATTACTGGCAGAATTAAGTATAAACACAGGATGAATGTTTGTCTTTAGTGTGCAGTCTAAAATGTATCTTGCTTTCAATCAACAACCAAACTCAGTACTTCCTTAAAGTCTTCCAAACACACTATGTTGCCTGTGTGCAGTTGTTGAGTTTAGCTAACTGGCTCCATCTTCTGGATAAAAGTAGATATGCAATCAGATTAAACATGTTTAGCCTGGAGACCAACAAAACAATACACAGATAAATATGTGGCACATTACTGAGATAGTAAGACCCCCCCCCATGGGTTGTTACATTCTTGGGGACTCCTTGATCTACATCTACACCACCCTTTACCATGTCTTCATTCTTCAGTTGCAACTGCTGCATTTGGAGTGCTGATCATTTTCATTGCTTAAAAGGCACGGGAATTGACAGGCCTGTCTTATTTCCTGTTTCAACTGTTTTTCAAAAACTGAGTGTCTGTAGAAACAAAAAAGGGGGCAGCATGTTGCTCCTAAGAATTAGTCAGGCAATCATGCATCAGTGACAAATGTAATTCTTGTTGAGCATAGCGCAACTTGTGTCCCCATTCCCCACATAAATGAAGGGGATGCAAAAATCAAATACATATTGCAAATCTCTCAGGACACTGTTGATGCTGTGGGCTGTAACTCATCTAGGTAATGTGGCTTACAGGTATCTAACGAGTATCTAACCCTAACTTAATCTTCCTATGCAAAATTACAAAGTTGAAGATTTCATAGGCTACACCAATAAAATGGTAAGACATTCTAATGTACACTCTACATAGGAGCATAAAAATAAATCCAATACAATAAACTAAAATATAATTTTAGTCAGCAATCAATGCACCTTGATATGATGAACCGTCTCTTAGGAAGGTTAGAAACCATTGATATTAAGAGGGATACAGTCAGCAATCTCTGAATATCCAGGCTAAGAATTATTATGGATTTGTTGACTTACAAAACCATCCGAACTTTTAGAATTTCCTGCATGGACATCTTGGTTTTGCAATAGCTCATAAAACAGGGATTGGAGCTTCTGAATAGAACTATTCGGTCTCAGGGCTAATGAAATTGCATAATTTTGATAAGTACTCCACGGACAGAAATACAAAGTGATGTTGAGATTAGTCAGCCATTCTTTTCTGTTTGCTTTTAGTTAGTCCTAAAGGCCCTTATAGCTAAAGCCATGATATACTAACTTCAGATATGCAAGTGATGTATATCAGTAATTTTTATAATTGCACTATGCAGAGTTTTATCATGTTTGGTATCACCATGATCTTTTTGTACTTAGCTATATGCTCTCAGCGAGATTTTAACATCCATAACAGACTGGTACAATGCTGATGAGACACACAACATCAAAACTGCAGTCTATGGCTGGTTTCTGGTCACTGATCCTTTTCGATTAGCCCATGTTTAGTTTAAAAAGAGCCATGTTTAAAACAATGTCCATTGCTAATGGAAGCTGCAGAAATGCTGTATGAAGTCTTTGTTCATTTACATGTCAAGCTGGGAACTCTGGGATAGTTATGAAAACAAGATTTGTACCTGCCAAAGTAGGACTTCCCAAAGGTCAAATTTAGATATGCAGGGGATGCATATTAGCATTTTTTGTATTTGCACTGTGTGGAGCTTTGTTTTTTTTTTTTTTGTGTTTGGTCTCACCACAATCTTTTTTTTGTACATATATATCCGCTAGCAAGGACTGAGCATTCCTCTTCTCAATTAGCTTGACTTCTATAGGCTGCGTCTGGCCATAGCACATCTTCCAAGGAGAGGCACACTAAAAGGATAAGATTAAAAAAAGCTTTTTCACTGCTTTACTACAAACAAGCATAGCAAACCAAAATGTTTTCATGTTTTAGTCTGAACATTTATATTTTCACTATGCTATGGTTATTTATTTTGTGTCAACGTGTTTAAGATGTCCGGATAAAAGTCTTTAACGTAGACTGAAACGTCAATGTCTTGTTTTGCTTGCTTGTTTGTAATAAAGCCATGAAAAGGTTTATTTAAACAAAATCCTAAAACAAGGAAATAACCTTATCCGGGTTGAAAAAACCTAAAAGGAATAATATACGAAATATTGCTCTAAAACGGGCAAAAAGGGTCACCAAAACAACAGACTAATAGTGCAAACACAAAAACAACAGAATTGAAATAAAAATTTAAAATTTAAACAGGGGTTGGGGGCAGTGAAATCCTGTGTGGGGAGGTCCTGGACATCAGAATTAGTTAGGAACATCAAATTTCGAATACACACCTGAAAGATCTATTTGATCTCATTTAAAGGGACACTATAGGCGCCCAGACCACTTCAGCACTTCAGCTAGGTCCCTCAGGTTTTAACCCTTCACATGTAAACATAACAGTTTCAGAGAAACTGCTATGTTTACATTTGGGGATAATCCAGCCTCTAGTGGTTTTAACCCCTTCAGCGCCACGGGAGGGGGACCCTGAGGGTGGGGAAACCCTCACGACACTATAGTGTCAGGAAAACCGCTTTGTTTTCCTGACACTATAATGATCCTTTGATCTAATTTGACTAGCCAATCACCACCCCTCACTGGTCGCAAGTCAGATTACCTACAGATGAGATAAATTGCTATCACTGCACATAACAAAATGACTAGCAATGTGACACCAGCCATCCCTTTTCTCAATATTGTTAAAATGTTCACAAACACGGGACTTGAAGGTTCTGGAACTTGACTGTGCATTTTTTGGCATTTGAGCAAACAGATAGCATATGAGGTGATGGCCTAATTTTAAAAGTTCGATAGTCACAGAACAAACAAGCATATCACCTATTAACAAAAAGTGCAAGTACTATGTCTAGTGGCGCCACAATTAAATGTACCACTTTACCTAAGACAGGTGGTAGTTGACCGAGTTTGGGATCATACCAATCTGAAAGATAAGTTGCCTGAGAAATGAATTGCTCTCCTAGCCATCTTATAAATACCTGTAATGACTACATGTTGTATGCATACAAGAGTTATTATAAAATACTAGTAAAGGCTTCTCCGCTACATATCTGTCAGGGTTTCTATGCTGTTTTACACAGCAACCCTTCCTTTTTCTGTGTCTGAGTTTTCAGCTGATTTTAACGATCAGCTCCTTCAGTATGTTGCCATGGTTACTCACCTAATAGTAGTAACCAGCCCTGCTGCTAATCAGTGCAGCCTATTTAAGCAGCGAATCCAAGTACCTCCTTGCCCTGGCATGGTTTCCTGTTCTTATCCTCTATTTTGCATGTCTTGCTCCCTTTAGTGTAACTTATCCCCATTTGGTTGTACACTCCCCTTTAGTGTATATTTTTCCCCATTTTTTTCCCTTTGTATGGCTTACATTACACCCCACTTGTGTGTCTCTTACAAACTTCCTTGCATGTCTTACTCCCCTTTTGAGTATCTCTCTCTTCCTTCCAGCACCTTTGTGTCTCTTTCGCCCCCACCCCCAGTGCATTTTATTCTCTCCAGCCCCTATGTGTGTCTCTCTTTCCTCTTCCCCAGCTGCTCTGTGTCTCTTTCTCTTGTTATGGGATAACATTAATTTTGCACATTTAGGAGCTATTTTGGCTATATGTTAAATTGAATATGTGCTGTCAGCCTCTATTTCAGTATGTGCAAAATTACATAAAATTAAAAATATACTTTGTTAAATCACATAAAGGAAATTAGTTTATTTTCTGTGAAATATCTGGAAATCTAGATTCATTGAACAGAAGTTCCAGTTGCTGTAAAATGACACAATGATACTGCCATCTAGTGGTTGGTGGGATAAGGCCAGTTGATAGTTTTGCTCCCACCTTCCCATATTCAGCTATCAGTCATAAATTATGCTTCTGGCTTTTCTTTAGCTTTTTAGTTGATTATGGTTTTTCAGTAATAACAATAACATTGTACCATTCAAATGACATTGTGTTTTTTATTTTTTTTTATTTTAATGTATTAGTGGCATCAAACATTTCATACTGTGGGCTCTCTACCACACCTGTACACATCCCTTACCAGAAGCTGTCTTACTACCAGTCCAGGACTGATAATGCCCGTCTACTTCATCATGGTTATCGCCAACTGGAACAGAGTGCTGGCCGCCTGGATATGACGACATGATACCAGCGGCCTTCAGCTCTGTTCATTATAGAAGGAATGCCTGGCTTTCACTGTTCCTCACAAAAGCCAGTCACTCCTGGCACCTCAACACTATAAGCGTATTGATGGGAAAAGGAGGAGGCCAGGGTCGCTGGTGACTAGTATTGGAGAAGCAGGGACTTAATTTGTAGAACAGCTACAAGGCAGTAGGTGCTCTTTACTATGCCAGCACCCACTGCCTGGAAATTGTTCCTCACACAGAGGGGAAGCGGGAAGGAGGCCCCCATAGTCTGGCAACTGTGTCATTTGCCCCCTCTGCCGAGTATCCAGGCAGACCAACACATCCACACATCTCATCCAATTCCTCACTGATGTTCTGGCCATGTCAGATGTTCCTGACTATGGGAGTTGAGTTTTGTGTCACAGTAGTGCATAGCCAAGACTTCTGCTGAACCCAATAAGATCTACTGTATACATTGAGAGCTTTGGAGGTTTTGGGGGGAAAGTGGTTGTGCTGGCAACAAAATGGCAAATAAATTGACAATTTAATATTTTTTACTGCGTTTCAATAAATAGATGAAGTCCTTTATCATTTTCCTTTTCAGAACTTTCTACTCTGGCCAAGCTGTCACCCAATGAAACACAGAGGACAGATGTACTTTAAGATTTGCCCATGCTTCTTGTTTGTGATATTGAAAGGTGCACTGTGACAGGTCCTGAATCCCCACTTTGGAAGTTAAATAGTTAGTGATTTCATTTTCATGTTGAAAACACAATTAACCCCTTATTTTAACATTCCTGTATATTTATGGGCTTGGTTTTAATACTGAGTGCTCAGAGTGACAGGTGAAGTATCTATCAGGAAAATGGATCATGCATTGATAGCTGAGAGGTATCAGAGAAAACTTCATCCCTCTTTCATACAAGAAATTCCCAAAGTGTGAATTGAAGGGTTATTCAACAAAGTGTGAGTTGTCAAGAAATGAAAGTGAATTTGAGGTTGAATCTCATTTAAGATTACTGACAATTTGCCCTTTAGTGAATAACCCTTTTTGTGTAAAAGCATCTCGTAACGATTTACTGACTAAAGCGAGAATATTAGTGAACTGAAAACCAAACTGCAAAATGTGGGCTAAAATAGCCAAACTAGTGGAAATGGAGGCGTTGTGCAATTTCATTTCATTTTCTCTTCACTACTGTTATCTGTTAAGAGAATTATATCTTTAATAATAAACTATATCTCTTCCCAGGACTCAATGCCCTGCTCTGTGGTAGGAACTTGTAAATTGTCATCTGTATTACCGCTGGCCAAGTCATATGCTGCTATTTATGTAAATTGTAAGTCTAAATAGGTACTTTTACTGGGCACAACATAAATAAGAAGTATTTGTCTTCATAGGTTTTACATCAGCATAATGCTGGGTGTGTTTTTATACAGCTTTGCAATAAATTTGTATACTTTATAACAGGGGTGCCCAAAAGGTATAGCCCCAGATGTTGTAAAACTACAACTCCCATGATGCTTTGCATGTCTTTAGAATGTGAAAGCATGAAATAAAGATTGTGCCAGACTGCCTCACTGTCTTGCTTATGAGATGCCAAGTGTGGTAGGAATGCCAAGGGTCTTACTGCAAGTCCTGGCTGCCCGGCAGAAGTCACTGCCAGTTAGCAGCTGCCCTGGGTGAGTCAGTCAGCAGGAGGTTGCAGGTTGTCCCCTCTAGAGCCTCTCTTCTTTCTAGATTTTCCCCCAGCCAGGGTTTCGGTAGGCAGTGTGGTTTTCAGGAGCAGTCTTTGCAAAAACGCTGCCGGGTCTCCAGTGGATGACAGCGTGTCTTCTTGCCGTGGGCGACCATTAGTGTACCCTCTATTCCCCATCTGTACGAGATAGTTTGTAATTGCCCCTTCCTGTTATTTGTTACGCTCTGGTTGACTATTTTATATCCTATTTTTGCTTTATTATTATTTTTCATTTTACTCTCTTTTTTCAGTGATCTATCTTTTATTATTGACCTATTATTTATTTTTAAACACACAGCACAGATATACACTTTTATTTATACACACCTTTTAAAGGCGCAGCACCAATTTGAATAGCACCTTACCAATACCCATTCTACTATCTACCTCAATTCTGAGCCATTGATACTATCTAGCTCCTGGATTATTTGCACTATCCTCCTGAGTGTTTTTTCTTCCTGGCAGTTTTCTATATAGGTTTTAGTGAATCCCTATTGTTCCAATTTGCAGCTACATAGTACTAGTCCTACTCCCCCTCCCCTGTGTGTTACATTAGGTATACCAGATTCACTTTCTCTCATATATAACACATGTGTTTGTGATGTCTGAAATATAAAATAAAATGTAGAAATACAAACTGCAGCATTTACCTATATCCTGGAAATTAGTTCAGGGCTGAACTAGAAAATGATATTGATTGCTACATATTTAATAGACATTTAATAGAAAATGTAACATTGATCATGTGAACAAAAAAAAAGAAGTTAATTTATAGGTGATTTCAATCTTGGCAATTCCTCTTTAACAAACTGCAAAAAACACACACAGTGCAGCTTCATTGTGAGACACCAACTGCACAAGCAATTCTAACAGGAAGTAGTTATTAATTGCTTTGTTTTGAAACTATATTTTGCACAGTAAAGACGTCTTTACTTGATAAATTGCTAAATTCACCACTGCAGCACAGGTGTTTCCTGAAATAAGGGTTTATACATTAGTGAAAAGAATGAAAGCCACTTCTAATGGCAAAATATATTGTTTTTCAGTAGTTTGGAGGGATCTACAAACTCTGAAACTTAAAGGGCCACGGTAGGCACTGTAACGACTTCATCTCATTAAAGTTGCTTAAATATCTAGTGTCCAATGGCGCAGTCCTTACGTTCAGTATTAAACTTGTTCTAAAAATGTTTTTACTGTTAAACAAGAGTCACCATAAGCCCATCCTTTCTGTGTTGCATCGGCAAATTCAGAATTACCCTGAGCAACAATGATTGGCAGTGATTGGCTAAGAGTGTAAGCTGACCATTTCCAGTCTATTAGAGCTGGCCATTGCGGATATGAATTGGAATAACTAAAGAATTGTATAATATCTGGTTTAGCTATATCCTGAGTACAGGATGGGCTCAGTGTGAGCAGTCAGGGACCAACATACAGTGTTACATAGTTACATAGCTGAAAAGAGACTTGCGTCCATCAAGCTCAGCCTTCCTCACATTTGTTTTTTGCTGTTGATCCAAAAAAAGGCAAAAAAAATCCAGTTTGAAGCACTTCCAATTTTGCAGCAAGCAGGAAAAAAAAAAAATTCCCTTTTGACCCCAGAATGGCAGTCAGATTTATCCTTGGATCAAGCAGTTATTACCCAAGATTGAAAGATTATATCCTTGAATATTCTGTTTTTGCAAGTATGCATCTAGTAGCTGTTTGAACATCTGTATAGACTCTGATAAAACCACTTCTTCGGGCAGAGAATTCCACATCCTTATTGTTCTTACAGTAAAAAAACCTTTCCTTTGCCTTAGACGAAATCTTCTATCTTCCAGTCTAAACGCATGACCTCGTGTCCTATCTAAAGTCTGATTTGTGAATAGATTTCCACGGTGTTAAACTGGTAAAATACACAAAAAACTGTATAAACCCCGAAGTTAAAATACAGTGCAGGGCGCCACAATCACAAGCATAAGGCAGATAATAGTTACCACTTTGCAGAGGAGAATGCAACCTCCCATGAAAGATAAAAACATAAAGGGAATCATAGTATAAACCGACGTTGACTGATATTTCGGGTGGCAATGGTTTCTCGTCTAGGAGGGTATTAAACACCGTGCATAGGTTTGGAAGCAGTTAGTCGCTGAAGGTTCTATAGTACAAGGCTGTAAGCCGTCTGGGCCTGGACTTTTGCCTGGTTTACAGGATTGGAGGGCAAGTTTGAGTTCTTCGACATCTATTTCCACTGATAGGGTGTCTTGTGCTTGTAGTGACAGTTTTGGGAGATTCAGGGGTGCCAGGAAGTTTGTGATCCATGCTAGCAGATCGGGCTTTAGTGTTGACCTGTACTGTATTTTAACTTAGGGTTTTATATAGTTTTTTGTGTATATTCTTTGGAGATATCCTAGGGAGTGTTCCCATTATAAGTGGATTGCCTGCATGATTCTGCACATTTATTATTTCACTTACCCGTTATCTGATATGTTCAAACAAGTTAAATGTTTGAACATCTAGGCAGGACAGTAACAGGGAATTCCAGGCACAACAACCAATACAATAAGATGAAGTGGTTATAGGTACTATAGAATCCCTTTAGGCTTTTTATATAGATATAACATCACCCAACACACAAGCATAAATTGTATTGATGTTTGGATTGAATGCGAGGATTGTAAATAACATTTGTTCAGAGAAACAAACAAGCAGTAAAACCCACTTTTTCACAGGCCGTCCTCCTTTAATCTTATCGTTCAAACAATCTTTGTCTTATAAATACTTATTTCAACAAACCAGTGCTAGGGGTAAAGGGGAATTTAACAGAAAAACACAAGTGTTAGTGGAAATGTCAACACTCTTCATCTTCAATTATACCCAAAGTTATTAGATGACAAAATACCATACCAAACTTTCCATAACTCCTGCACACTTTTCACACCTGTTAAAATAAAACAGTTAAAGCGGTGCTGTCACCCCACCCTCTTGAAAAATGAGCATTTAATAAAGATAGAATATACACAATTTGAATGTGTTGAAATTTCACTGAAATTCCAACCTAGTCAAGAGATATACAGAGACAAAGTAAGGGCTTCTTTGACTCTGTATATCTATCCTGATAGTCGTCACCGAGGACAGCTGCAGTAAATTGGCTGTGTCTATGGGGGATGCTGCAATACTCAATGCATGTGCGAGAGTACAGCAGTGACGTCGTAGCAGACCAAAAAAGATAGCTGCGCAGCGAGGAGTTCAGGTAAATAAAGATCACCCTTACTTGCTCTCCTTTTCCACCAGCAGCAATGTCACTGTCGGTGGTCTTTGCGAATTTTGCAAAGACCCCAGATAGTGATATCACTTTAACACCACATTCTGCTCCCGAACACACAGCACAGCTCACCAAGTACATCTTAACCCTTACAATGCTAGCAGAACACCAAAAATGCATTTTCAAGAATTTTCACCTATATGCAGAGCAGCACTGTCATTTTACATTTTGCAAAGAGCTAGCAAAGTGATATATCCATTTCTGTGGTGGCTCTCAAGGGAGGGGTATAGGGGAATCTAACTTCACAGAAAAATATAGGTGATAGTGGAAATATCGACAACCTCCCCATTCAATAATACCGACAGTTATTATATTACAAAACACCAAACCAAACTTTCCATTTCTGATCAGTGGGCTGCTGTACACCTGTCAGCGCAATACCATGCACCCTAACTCACAAAATAGCTTACCAAGTGCATCTTAGCCATTCCAATGCTAGAAGAACACCAAACATGCA